TGTAGAGCTCTTCAGAAAGTATTTACACTATATTGGTAAATTTCCCCTCATTTTCATGGTATAAATTTTAACAAATACATTTTTATTCATATCTGACAAATTATATCAAAGAAAATGTTACTCTGCTACCAGTTTTACCCCAAGCTACTGACATACATTTATGGATAGATTTCCAGAAATGCTGAGCACATGAAGTTTTCCAGCAGAGTTCAGGTAAGCAATAGGCCTTGATATTTCTCAAACACATATCACTTACTAATAACTGTTGCCAAGGGAATCCTGCCTGAGTATTTGAGCAAAGAGAGTACATAATGCACACTTCTCCACAGTTCTCCTTCTAGCCAGTTATTCCAGAAAAAAAAGATGTGGCAAGACGAAGGAGAGAGAAAATTCCTGAACTTACCAAATTTTCATACAGGGATTTGAAGCTAGGCAGGGATTTGAAGCTAGGCATGTAAAATAAGCAGGCAACAAACTCTAGAAAGAAAATTATATGAATAATTTCCATATGTGAAAAAGATGATACATGACTGCAAAAACTTTTTGTGCACTTTAGTGTGACTGCAAGTTTGGCAGAGGAGATGTAGATGAGCCAGGTGCGACGGCTTGTGTTCAGAACAGAGCAGCAGAGGCTGAACGTAGAGGTCTTTTTGTCAGTTCATTCTGTTATCTCTTAAGTGATAAGAAGGTATGATTAGGAAGGAAGCTTTGTCCACACCAACTTGTTAACTGATTATCAAGAAGATTTAAAAAGGAGAGGCTTTTGCTTTCATAAAAATGCTGGAGAACAACAGCTATGAGAAAACAGCTTTCATGTAGCAAAAGTAGATGGTTTCCTTATTTTAGTGTAACTCAGACTGGATAACAGAGTCATGAATATCTATAGAACTGCCACAGAAGTTTCTATGCAGCCCTTATCCAGACAGGGAGCTTACACTTTTATAAGGAGCAATTAATTAAGGCTGCGCTTTTTTTTCCCCCCCTCTAAGTACTAGAATCTCTTAGAAGGTTGCCTTTACACATGTGACTTTACCTGCAAAGCTACTGAAAATAGATACATTTTCAAATCTTGTCCTTCTTCACAGCAGCATAATTTAAGAATCTGCTTTGAATATATAGAAAAATAGTCTCATTTAGCATCATTAAGCACCACACAGTCACGTGCTCTTAAACTCATGTTGCATTGTCAGTTATTTACTGTGTTCTCCATAATGTACCAAGATTCTGCAATCCTCCTCCATTTTTAACTCATTTGGGAGAAATGCACATGCTGCTGAAACAGCATCCTCTTGCAACTCCATCAATGCAGTTGACTGTTGTCTTCCTGTATTAGTCCAAACCTCCTTGACACTGTGATTGTGGTACTACCAAAATTTTATTCTGTCTCTCCTCTGAACATACTTTTTTTTTTAATATGCAGTTAACTATAAGAAAAGATCTCTATGTCACAGATGCTTTTGTGTCTAACGATCAACAAAAGTGCACTAGAGAAAATGAGTAAAGGTTACTAATTCCTCATACCTTGTATATCTGAAACTCTCATCAGCCTCTCACATTGAACATAGTCATGGTATTTATTTGCTTAGGCTTGAGCTTTTCAAATAGAGAACTAATTGCTATTTTTGTTGTGGACAGAATTTTCACCTAATTGTTCATTTTTCTTATTTAACTCATTAAAAAAAGACAACAGTAAGAAACAAATCCTTGAACTTGTAACAGCTGTGAGTCACTAAACCACCAAGAGAACTTGATAGATCCCATGAGAACTGAGGCTGAATGCATATGGAATAACAATTTCATATGCAGCATTATGTTTCCCCTTTCTGAGATGCAATGGACTTAACAAGTCTGCATATTTAATTAATTCTTAATGACATGAACAGTTCTTAATTTGCTGAAAAAAAAACTTCTCTCAGTTACAAAATTACATGTGTAAGAAAGGAGATGACTGCAGGTAGGTCACATGCTCAACCTTTAGTTGCGTTCATTTCCAGAGCCAGTTTTCTAAACTGAGATCCAAATCTATTTGTTACAAAACCAAATTATAATTCAGGAACATGACTTAGTTCACAGGAAACACAAGGTGATTTGAACTACATTGGCCTTAAAAATAATAACAACAATAAAAATGATTGTTAATATGCATACATCTTTTAATTTAAAAAATCCCACTGTAAGCAATGGGATTCTACATAGAAGAACATGTCCCACAGAGGTGATCACCAAGGCATATGGCATTAAAATGAACAGCTTCAACAGACAGAACATAAGAATCTGTCTTTTAAAAAGTTAATTGAAATTTGAGGCTTCATTCCTAAGGTCTCTTATAGCATGATTTTCAAGAAAAAAAAAAGAGGGAGATTTTCATCACTTTTTAAAGTTAACAATTTCTTGGCAACCTCAGAACTATCAGATGGTCAATATTTTGATAATTATAGTCAAAACCAAAGGCCACATGGTTTCACTTTGACATGTAATAAATTAATCTGAGCCTTCTTTTTGCCACCAAGACATAGCAGTGCACTCTAGCTTTATTATAAGAATGAGTCTGAGGCTTCTTGATATTTTGGGAGACTGTTTTAATGTCTTTTTTCTTCATATTTTCTTCAGATACATCTTTTTAAATGAAAATATTTGATATTACAAGCTTATATAGAACAAGAAATTATATTTTTGAGAAGATATTAACATATTATACAAAGATGTAAAGATTATGTTTCTGTGTCAGCCCTAGTAATAAAGTAGCACATGCAGTATCTCAGTCTCATTTAATTTCTAGTTTCAGATTAATTATTTTCCTGGCAGTATGTTATATTCTGGACAGTAGCCCAGCTATGGGTGAGTAATGGTAAATGGTTGGGAGTAATTTTTAAATTAAAATAAAATTGTAGCATGTTTTCAAAGACTTGGAAAATTAGGTCAATGTCAAAGAAAGTGGTTTTCTTCTTGATAAAGATTACAGAGAAAGCCTACTCCTTGCTGGTGTTGAGAGACCCCTAATGCCTGCCACAGTCATTAGTTTTAGGAGGTGCAATTTCAAGCTTATTCAGAACAAAACCATGAAAATGGAAGCATCATAAAAAATTATAAGTACAAAATACATTTGCATATCCGTAATAACAAATTATATTTATTGTGTTTTCTAGAAAGTAACAGAAATACTGTGAAAATCTGCAGAACTCAACTGGAGTGTATTTGAGGTGGAATTTATCCTTTACTAGAGTCAAACCGTGAATCCTACTTTAGATTTTTTGTTAAGATTCTTGAATATTATCTAGTTTGTTTTTCGATATTTCTCTGATAACTATTGTTTACAACAGTTATGCGATTCTTTTTGCAAGCAGCTGTATTCAGTCTCCCCTAATCTACCCTCTCTTTATATTCATAGAAAGGTATTGGGAAAAAAAAAATAAATCTTTGGGCAACAAGGCAAATGCTAATTTCTGGGTCTGGGAAGATGCTAACCTAATATGAACACTATTGAAAAGTTTTATTAAAATTTTTCTTTTCCTTTGAATGTTCTAGCCAATTCTGGTGACACACCTGAAAATTAGTGTCTCCTGACTTAGATTAAAGGATATTAATAGAAACTTTCTCAACCTGATCTCAGTTCAGACGTGTTAAGCATACATTTATTTATTAAAATCCCCCTTGTAATGTACTACACACTATAGCTGAACAACTCAAAGTCTCTTACAACCATAGTAAATTATTTTCTGATCTTTAATGTATTAGAAGACTATACTGAAGTGCCCCTCTGAGAAAAGCAAGTAACACTTTCAAGAAAAGGAAAAAAACATTGTAATAAGTGGTAAGTCAAGCATCTCTTCTTCAGCGACTAATTTCCTCATACAGAGTGGCTAATCACCGAGGTGTGGTATGAACTACTCCTTCTTTGTAGCTTTCATTAACTAGTTGGTGGACATCTTCACATCTCAGTATTTTAAAGAAAGATGAACATTTTTCTCCATCTATAGGATGAGGAAACTGTCACCATTTTCAAATTCTACCTTGAAGGCACACAGCTCTGCTGAGAGTCTCAGCTTGAAATTGTGAAATTAAACTGTGTCTGCTTTGGAAAGGAAGGAAGCATCTGTTGGAACCAAACCTCCCTGTGGTCTTCAGCTCTCAAGGGCTGAGACTGAATCCATATTACAAGTGAACATGCATCTACATTTCCAAAAAGCTGTAAAGAGACTCTCAGAGTGAGTTTTGAAAAGCTAAAGTATCACATACATGCTTAGTTACCAGGATAAATGACCTGGTTTTCAGGTGAGCTGAGTACTTACAGTCTGGATTAGAATGAACAGGAGACTGCTCATAGATAATCCATTTCCTTTAAAAATTAGGTCACTGTTTGGTAAACAGAGGCACCTATCTTCAGTTATAATTTTTTTTTTTTTTAAATAGTTTATTATCTATTATCTCCAGATTTTCCTGTCTAAGCATACATCTGTAATTACAATGTATAATTTATTAATAAAACCCCAAGAAACAGCAAAATAAGCAAGATATTTTCTAATATAATTCATATTAGAATGGTATTAGTTTCCATAATAAATAATCTTCCACATGGTGTATACCAGAAATAAGAGATCTAAACCGGACACATCTTTGGGTCTCAATCTGAGAATTACTATTGCACAACCAACGGTAGAGTCTTCTGCTTCAGTGAGACTTCACCACTGTAAATAATTACACTTTCTGGAGCAAACAGAAGATATAAATGGCAATGTAGGCTTTGATGAGTTTTGAGGCTTCACTCTCTCCTTCTCCCCCACCCCAAATCAACTCCAAATCTAACTTTAATAAACTTTTAATAAACTTTGCAAGAAGCAATGACAAATAACACATTCATTTCAGTATCAGCAAATCTTGCACAGGAATTACATGACATATGTTTTTAAAAGTGGGATGATTAAACAAGACAGACTGTAATGTTGTGTTCATTCATATAATACATAATTCTCAAAAGAAATAGTAAAGATTTCTACACTGACCATAGTCTGTGTTTTCCGGCTCCCAACAATTTGATGGCCAAAAATAGGGTGTCTATAGACAAAACAAAAAAGTAGTGAACTCAAGTTAGAGAATGCAAACATTATACAGTCCTTGGATTGATACTGGCTTTCAGAGCCAATTTACATTTGTGATAGATCTGTTAGTGTTAACTTGAAAATAGTCATCAAAGCAGAAAATTACATTTGTATGCTTGTTTATTGCACTAGTGTCAGAAAGGCATTGAAAAAGAACAAAGTATTCTTTTTATTCATATAGTTAAGGTAACAAAACTCACATGGTTAGGTACTGTCTTTTTCATCTTCCTTAGCAACATACCTCTCACATGTCCTGAAGAATCAGCTTAAGAAAGTAAAAAGCCTGAAGATATATTTGGGTACATACAGTTCTTGACTTTGGAGCATTTATATTAATATATATTAATATTCAGTACTCATTCCTAGGAGTTATTTGTTTAAAAGTGGCACTAAGCATAACCTATCTTTGCAAAGTTATCAAAGTTCTATTAATTTGTTGAAGTCTATTTTTTTTCTAATTGTTTACCAATTGTGATTTAAAATATGGAGTTTTTTAATGGAAAGCCAATAAAATTATCAATAACTAGTTCAATAATAATATGCTTATTAAACTTCTAAATGTACTGATAAGATAATTCACTTCAACCCAATGAAGAATCTAAGATTATATAGGCATTTTTCATACAAATAATTTTAAAAATAGTAATTTTGTTAAAATGTAAATGGTTATACAGACAGAGATAATTATATTTTATTTGCGCAGTTGATTTAAGTAATATGTGAACTGGTCTGAATGCTATTTCAAAACACAGGTGCTTCTTTGGGGAGGGGGGGAAATTGCTTTCAGTTTCTTACTGTTTTTTCTCAAACATCTCTCAGCTGCAAAAATGGAAACCACTCTTGCTGTCCCTCAAGACTGTTTTAATGTTAATCTGAAAACCAACAGGGCTGAAGAGTGACACATTCAGACCTATTGTCAGGTGAAATATATTTTGTGAAAAATCTCTATTGCAACAATGACCCATCAATTTTATTAGGAGTGATATAGAATTTGTTATTTATCAAGCAACAGCAATGAGTTAAAGGGTAAAAGAGAAACTATCACAAGCTAAATTCAAAGGCTGAGATGTGTTTCTTGTAAGATGTTTGTGCTCTGTAATGGAGCAGCAATAAGTCTTTCTCCAACCAACTATTCCTTCACAGTGGCACTAAAATCGAAGTGACCTGTATAAGTACAAATAGAAAGAAGAGGAACCCCTAAAAAATTAATAGCAGCACTCAGTAAATCTTGGAGACGCAAGAAGATACAAAAATAATGTAACAAGTTCAATTACATAAAGCATAGGGTCACCAGCATTTAAGTATAATTTTCAAACTCGAGGAGGAAAAACAGTCTTTGCTTAGGGGCATGAAGTGTATCTCGGGAGAAGCCCAAGAAGAAAAGCATAAGTACATAATTTTTCTGCAAAGAGTAACTTCAACCTGTGTTTACTCGTCCAAGCTGAGCTTCAGGAAAAAAAAGATGTAGTAAGATAACTCTACATACATAGAAACTATATCCACTCAGGCAGCTCCTGAGCTGAAACTGGCTGAGGCTCATATTTTATTTAGGGGGGAGTATCAGTGGTGGAGGGAGTGTGGCCACTAAATAGAATACAGGAAGAGGCAGGATCTTCAATGTTGTGACATGTCACTTTAGGTCAGTAGGAGGCATAGGTAGCCAAGGCTTTTCTGAAGGATGAGAACGTGTGACAATAGCAGCACCTGCATCTAACAGAGGCACTCGGTTCAGACCAACTCTGTGAAGCGTGAAAGTGCTCCAAGGACACTTTATTACTTTCCAAAGCTGAACAAAGCTTTCCAGGGAACCGATAAAATAGGTTTTGTTCCATTAGAAAATACCTGACCAAGACTTTGCAGGTGTGTATTACTTCAAATGAAAGTGACTTCAGGATAAGACTGGCATTCTGCAAAGACGAGCAGAGCGGTATGAGGGTTAGCAAGCTCAGAGAGTCATAGAATCATTTAGGTTGGAAAAGGCCATTAAGATCATCGAGTACAAACATTGACCTAACTCAGCCAAGTCCACTGCTAAACCATGTCCTTAAGCACCATATCTACAAAAGGCAGAGGAGGTGTCTTCAGAAAGTAAACTGAGGGGCAAAGAGATGGAAGGGGGATGACAGTTATTGAAAGCAATCATACTAAACATCCAGGTACCTATAGAGAGAAAATGTAGTTACAGGCCAGGGTACCCATAATGGCAATCTTCAATCTACTAAACAAGAAAAATAGATCATGGAAAAAGCACAAATTAATGCATATGATACTAATGATGTGTCTAAGGCTCCATGTCTCTGGAGTTAAAAGCAGAAAAGTTAAAACAGAACATGAGTTTTAATTAGCAAGACACATAGTCATAAGAAAAGGGTTTATAAGGTAAGCCAAAAAGAAACTCCAGCAAAAGGCAAACATTATGACATGAGAAAGGAGTTCAAATAACAGTTAGTGTAGATAAGTACAGAAGATAATTAAACGCCTTCCTTGCTTGCTCCGGGAGGGAGAAGGTGGTCAGGTAAGAGCCTTTCTGCCCAGGGAACGACACACAGGCATGAGTTCTCCTTGCTGGTGCTCTGAACTGGGCAGACACAACCTGCCTCTGAACATCAAGCTATGAGCCTGCCTGCGTGGTGCTCAGATGCATTTAATGGGACCTGCTGAGAAATACAGCTCCTCAGCTCAAGCACTGCAATAGCCAGAGCTGGGCTCCAGCCAGCTAGCTGCCAGTGGGAACAAAGTTCAAGTCTGCCTGCAATCAGCTATGCAAACATCCATAAAATTAACTTTAACACGAAGATAGGCCTACAGGTTAAAGTACAAGGGGGGAAAAAAAAAAAAAAAGAAAAAAAACAGGAAGAGAAATATTTGTATGAGATCAGACAGTTCAGTTTAGAGGCCTGATAAAATTGAGCACAGACCACTTAAGGAATTACTGAGTTTTCATGTAGGTAAACTGTGCTTATTTGTAGAAAACAAAAAAGCCTCAACAAACTAAGAATGACTTCTCATTCCTCAGCACTGTGAGCTATATGCATGTGTAAATATTATGACAAAATTTTTGCTCTGATACTTCCCTTTCTCCTCTAACTGTCTATAATAGCCAGTACCTAACTGGCCGGAGTTATCAAAAGTATTGGATGATCTGCATGATGCTCAAAGCAATGCAAGTTACCTGAAGATAAAGTTACACACAGAAAAAAACACTCATTCAAGTAACCTTTGGAACATAAGGCAGAGGAGCCTCAAAAGACTAGAGTGAGGGGAAGATCTACCTTTTTCAGAAAAGGGGAAAAGCTGAAAATTTTTGTTCTATTCTTTCTAGATCTCATGTCTAGATTGAACAATTGTAATACACTATCCATTTCTGAATCCTTAAAAGCTAAAGGTTACTAAAATTTGGATTATTCATAGTATAATCCCACCACACTCAGCTGCGGTCCTCCTCAGTCTCAATGCCTCATGGGCTCCTACCTGCACAGAGATTTATTGTCCTAACCTCTACAGTCATGCAAGGTAACATCAAGTTTGCATAAAGTCTCAGACAGAAACCCTTGGAAACTTTGATGCCAAGAACCTGATTTTCTAACAAATGGATTCTGAAGTTTACTTTGTTGACTAGATGTTACAGACCCCAAATAGTTTAATTACATAATGTGTGACTAAAATGTATGTGCTAAGTTAACATCTTTCCACTTCCATTTCAAAAGTCTCCACACAATTTTACAGTCCAGATATTTAATAATCCCTTAGAAGAATTTGCTAGAGGGGTTATATATGAAGGCTGGGGGAAGAGGTTCAATAATGACTTTCTTTTCCTTGTTCAATAAGGAAAGACTGGGAAGTAAGAAGAGTCTCATAAGAAGATCCCCAGTGTCATGCAGTGAGGTCAGAAATAGAATAGGAGGTTTGTGCAAATGAGCAAGCTGCTTGCTCTCATCTGGACTTTTAAAAAACTCCCGCAGCAATGCAAGGAAGCTCTGCCCATGCAAATTATCTTCTCTGTGCATGACTATACAAAGATAGCTTGGTTTAACTGTTACAACTCACATATCCCAAGTACACTACTGAAGAAGTCTAACATCCCTTGTAATATCACATATCCCTATGGCACAAGCATTATTCAATCTATGTGCCTTATTTAATGACCTAGAAACCCTGCATACACAAGTGAGGATTTACCCCAGCAGAATTATGGATGTGGTATAAAGCGTTGTAACTCAACTCTACCATTTTCAAAGAGAAGATTATGAAATATCAAGGCTTTTTCTGTGTAATGTAGAAAACCTGAAGGAATTATAATACTTAAGAATTTTACTTTTCCTTATAAGGAAATGTGAAGCAGTTCATCATGAATAAGTATTAAATAGGGAACATTTGTCATTTTGCCATGACATCCCACTTATAGCCGGAAGGAGAGTGGGTGGTAGAACGGTTTGGGCAAAGTCAAGTACTGTTTATCAGCTCAGGCAGAAATAATGCTGCCAGTTTTTATTCAGTACACTTTTAAGGCACTCTGTTTAATGGTATCTGTAATTTGAATAAGTAGCCAGTACAAGTCAACAGCTAGAGATATAAGGCTGACCTAGCACTGCATACATGATCACAGAGCCATTTAGGCTTTCAGAACAAAACAGGTTGTTACAAGGATCTCTGCCATTAATGGAAAACTGGTTTTAGACACACAAATGCATACGGATTCTCTCGCATTATAGACTAATATCATTATGTAAACTTTGGCCACAGAAATCCGTAATCCTCTTGTTAATAAAGCCATATAAAAAAAAAAAAAACAAACCTGTAATATAGCACATATTCCACACTAAACAAATTGGCAGCAGTGGCTGCTATGTATCATGAGCAATCCTGTGATAAAACAAATAGATCTGCTTGGGCCCTACCATAAAATTAATCAATAATAATATCTGAGCTAATGAAACAGCCACTTGTAAAAATCAGTGTTGCTTATCAGCTTTTATAAAACATGATTAATTTCTGTGCATTAAACTGTATTACTGAAGAGGGAAATCATTAAGCATCTTTCAGCTACCTCTTGTTGATAGTAATAAGAAAAGAATTGTTGTTTCCGAAGCTGCACCGCTCCATGAAATCTTTTAAAATGTAATTACTGGGATGGGGGAGGAATATTCAAATCACTCATAAACCTTCCTTTGCATATTACTGCTATTCTTCTCACAGACACCAGGGAGTCTTTATAAACAGCAGAGATCAAGTCTTTACTGAAATATAGTTCTACACGATCTCAGATGCCTTGCATGATGGATGGCAGAATTCAGAGGTGTTCAATTTTATATTCTTTGCAATAGGCTCAAATGATCTTCTGGTAAAAGAAAAGGGTTAGATTGCTGGCCTAGCACTGTCAAGCCCACAGAGGAAGAATGCCAGGAAGTAGTGCTCCACAGTTAGCTCAGAACTATTACAGGAGACGTTGAGGAAGTTTAAATACATTAAAGACTTTGGCTCTGTGACTCCTCTTTTCTAACCTGAAAATGGAATGAGCACAGAAAGCAGTGTGTGAGGGGAAAGCATGCCTGAATAGGGCGTTAAAAAAGGACACTGATAAGACAGTCAGAAAGACACCTGCTTTTGAAATTATTTTTCCCCCTCTTTGAAACCTAAACAGAACCTATATATGCTGAGGCAGAGCTGAAGAGACAATGAATGAGTCCTTGCACCTGCAACTGCCAAATAAAATGTGCCAAATTCTGGCTGAGATAACTTGCTTCTTTTTTTATTTCTAAAATCTATCTTCCAGTAGAATCCTTCCCTCAAGGTAGAGTATATGATCCAGCAGGGCTGTGGGAAGTGGCTAGAGAGCTGTGTTCATCTGCAGCCTCGGTATTCAGGATGGCCAGAGGCTGGCCCAGACCTGAGCCAAGATGTAGCTAAATGAGCAAAGCCGACTCAATGAGATGTGAGAGGCAGTATAATTCCACCTGAGATACGTGGATGCACAACACTTCATGCTCTACAATATTTTACAGCAAAGCAAAGATATTCCAAGATTGTTGAAGTGTTTGCAATATATTTTTATCCCCAGTTTAAGCATGGAAAAAGAAGGCCAGACAGGTTTAATGCATTTGTCAAGAAAGTGGTCCCAGTGGTAGAACAGGAGAAGACATCACAAGTGAAATTACATCTTGACAAAATCCATCAGTTTTGTTGCTATTTTCACCAGACTCATGCTTTCACAGCAGTGTTCCTATTTGCACACTTTCTCTCAGCTATTTATGCCCTTCATCTTGAAAACTGTAAAACAACAGCAGAACCTAAACTACATCCTTGAAAACTAATTTACCTTAAATCAAGAAGTAGTTTCATCATAAAATGGAAGCGTGATAAGCAATAGCCTCAAGTATCTGAACAGTTTCTTTAAAACCAAAAGATACTAGGAAATGCTATTTTTCACTATGAGCATTGATACACTTCATATGCATGTGCAACTCGTAGAAGAAATCATGATATCTCTCCATGGGAGACTATTAAAGAAGTTTACCAGCTGATAGGGTGTATCAGGCATTCCTCACCAGGATGGACATATTATCACTTATGTGGATGAAAAGTCTTAGCAAGTAATCCCTGGAAGATCTGTTTTCTAAGGTGCACCCTGCTTTTCTTGTTTGGGTTCCTCATACCTATCTGCTCTCAGGTAGAGAAGGGTGGTTAGCAGATATTCAGCCTGCTCTTTGGTCCCAGGCTTAAATTAGCAGGAAAGGGCAATGCAGCTGTTCAGGATGGTTCAGAAAGTATCACTAACTCTGAATTTTCTGCTTTGCCTTATTAAGACTAATAAATTTTCTCTCTGAGTAAGGCAATTAATATTTAGATCCATTTCGTTTGAATTAGATTTTCATAACAGAAACTAACGTAATTATACCTGAGTAGGTCAAAGAATGATGTGGAATAATTTTTTTTATTTTTTTTTTTAAATTTCTAAGGCCATATTATTTAAAAAAGCAGAGATAACTACAATTTTACAGCCTTCCTGATGGCAGGAGTAATAACTGAAAGAGTATAATTTTGCCTGTAAAAGGGCATTTGCACAAATGAAGCACAGTTTTCACTGCTTCTAGCTATTTCTATAAAACAGAAGGTTGTTTAAAACAAACTGGAAGTAATTTTACCATCAGGAGGGAATATGCCTTTGGAAAACAAAAAATCAAGTGCATGGAGAAAATTATTGTAGCTAGCCTATTTCTTGTAGGTCACATCTTTGTATTGCAGACAGATGTCTCTGCAGGGACAGCTTCTGAACTTTTTAGTGTTGGCAGGTGCATAGTTTTCTCTTTCTATTAAAATATCCAGACATTTGTGAATCTTGTCCAGTACTCAGGGGGTCCTATTTCCAAAGCACCTGCACAACTATTCTAGTGCACACTTCACACATTCACAGTCAAACTTTCCTCCCCGTGGAGTATGTTATTTTCATCTTCCAATTTAACAGCTCCAGTAACAGCTTTTTTATTAGCTTTATTTTGGTGGCAAATGTGGAATTGTAATGTCATAACTTTTGCTGTTACAACTCCAGTTAACAGTACGATGCCACTGTCATTTTTTCCTCATATTATACATTAACAGCTAAATTTGCATTGTTTTAACTGTGTTAGCACAGGAATAGCAATGCAAAAGGTACCATAGAGTAACAAACAACAAAAATACTGCAGTTATATACTGAACAACACTTGAGGAAATTATCTTACTTCATATGCATGTCAAACAGATGCCAAATCCTTAACTTGCAAACCCTGCAATACTCTCAGTTGTTCACGGTGCAGCTAATTCTAATTTATACTTTCCTTCAGCTGAATTACCATGCTAGCACAGGTGCTCATTTCCCATATTTAAGATAAAAGCAGGCCTGTAGCTGTGCAGAAATCAATGACCAGCACTCCTGTAAATAAGTCATATTCTCTGCAAAATTAAGTCCTCAGATATTTTGTCATTCTGGCCACTGCTTATGTGGAGATAAGCCAAGAACTGGAGCCTCTACCTTTCCATGATTTCTTTCCACTTGCCTCACAACCACAACAATGCCTTTCTCTCAGCAGTAAGCCCTTTCAGCCATATGCCACCTCCCTCTTCTTTATACTGAACACTGGGGAATACGAAGCACCATGAGGAGGAAACCTTTTCCTTCAAATCCTCTCTCCAGGATCAAAGGTAACTGTGGATCTGGGGAAAAGGTCTGGAGTGACTGGCCTTTGAGTTACCCATATACAAGTAACTTACTGTCCTGCTAAAGGACAGGGTTATTATTTCTTTTTTTTTTTTTTCACTGTACAATCCACAGGATCTACATATGAAAATATGCTGTTATTGTACATATGTATGCGATAATCTTTCTCTTTCTTGACAGACTGTGCTGTATGTATTTAATTATATTCACTCAAAGATTTTGTTTTAGACTAAATATGAACAATTTTCTTCCCTTATGTGGGTCTACAGAACTCAAACCAAAATACTTATGCCAGTATTGAACAGCAATTAATCTAATACAATGTTTCAGCCTATGATTGGTCTCCAACGTGTCACAGTTTTCTTCTGAATTTTAAATACCCCAATCTCAGATTTATTTTATTCTTGATAGCTTCTTATTTAAACATTGCTTAAGAGAAAACTTAGACTTTAACATCTTGAAGACAACAGACTTTTTTCCACCAGACACTATTTTTATGTATTTTAATGCAGTTAGAACTAACAGAGCAGGATTACCCAACTTATGGTATTTATATCATAAGTTTCATAGTGATAATAATCATATAATTTCAAAGCAACAAATATCTAGGGAAGACATTTTGGCAGGAGTTGGTGATATCTACCAGGAAGATTACCTAATGGGAAGAGCAATACAGGACACAATCAACCATTGTCAAATGTGGCACATGGGAAGCAAAGTTAACTCCTTCTCTAGAATACAGAACCAGACACTGTGCAAATATATTTGTTTCAAGTCATAGGTGGTATTGCTCTGCAAACTTCTAGCCTGCTATTC